ATCGGAACTCGCGTGTGAAATGTGATGCCAGCCATAGTGGTCTGGGTGCGGCGTTAGAACAGGAGATAGAAACGGATGTGTGGGTACCAAATGCTTTTGCGTCACGTTTTCTCAACGATCAGGAAAAGAAATACAGTACTAACGAATTAGAACTTCTAGCAATTGTATGGTCATGTGAGCATTTTCGAACTTATTTGCTGGGAAATCATTTTGTAATTTTAACTGACCATAAAGCAATTATCTCTGCGTTAAAGACCAACCGAGGTAACAAAACTCATCAATCGCGATTAACCAGATGGGCTGATAGGTTATTGCCGTTCGATTTCGATATATTCCATATCTCCGGATGCAAATTGGGTATCGTGGATTATTTATCCCGTTTTCCAACGTTTGAAGCACCGCGACCAAGCAGTTTTGACGAACAATATGTGGTCAAATGTATTAATCGATTCTTTGATGCGTGCGAATTTTTGGATGAATGGGCCAAGGGTTGTCCTTCGTTAGAGGAATCACCGATTATTCAGAAAGACAAGCTAGTCTCGCTTGATATCATGAAAAACAGCCAGAGCCCTGCTGTATCTGTATCTAATACAATTAACCTAATTGAGTCATTGGATTCCGGTCAGCCTCGGGTAAATCGTTCCGATATGGACAATTCATTTGCTGTATCTCACACGTTTGGTAGTCTATCGGTAGAAGGCGTCATAACTCAAAACATTCCAGCTACATCGCACGGCATAAAATCGATAGAGGGCGACGGAAAATCAGACAGTAACCATATCGGCATTTTCCAACAACTCAATACGTTTGACATCTCTCCGCTAGGGGGCGTTAAAATTGCTGGTTTAAAATCTAACCAATCAGCGTTGAGAGAAATGAAGCATGCTTTTGTCACTTTCTCAGCATGATTTACACATTATCTGCCAATTTTGTTCCCACTGTGGATTATTACTTTGGCTGTTAGTGATTGCGATCTATTTTTGTCGCTCATAGATTGTTTCGCCTTTGTTTCATCGTATCGTATTTCTTGGATAACAATCGTGTTATTGGGTGTTTTTCCTTTTCAGACAGCTATGGATTCTAACACCAACGCCAACAACAACACAAATGACAGCTTCGAACAGCTTTTAAACCAGTGTCTCCCAGTCAATCAACCTTGGTTTTCCTCTGATAGGGCTCGGCCGCGGTTTCGCGCGGGGGCTGTACGTCCCAGAAGGTCGACAACATTTCAACGCGGAGTGGCGTTGAGGAGCCAATATGCCCTTATTTTAGCCAACTTCAGGACAAAAAGGGCCAGAAAACCTACTGTAACAAATCGGCAATCTCAGTCAGTACATAGCCTAGAAATATTGAAGTCACCAGTGGTCGCTAAGGACCAGAAGTCGTTAACCGGGTTGGTGGGAATTTTGGACTCCGATGTATTGTCGGAACTTACGGACGAGGATGCCAGTCTATGCCTCATGAAACGAGCGATTATTTATCGGGATTACGAAGGATTTTGTCGTATAGATTCCTATATAAAATCCTTTTGGCATTGGGCAGCGGTGGTTGATGGCTGTATTGTTGTAGATAAAAGGATCGCTATACCCATGTGCCTACGAAAACCATTATTGTCTCGACTACATAGGTCGCATGCGGGTCAGTTGGCCATGGTTGATGCTGCGCAATACATCTGGTGGCCACGAATGCATCGAGATATCGTCCAGCTTTGCAAAGATTGTCCCCAGTGCACCAAGTTTGGTAAGAATTTGAAAGCGAACGCTTCATTTAACTCTTCCAAGCCTTTACCCCTTTTGTCTGGTCCTAATGAAGAGCTGCAGCTCAATTACGCAGGCCCTTTCATCGATTCGTTTGGTAACAGTATGTATATCTTGGTCGCGATCGACCGTTACTCAAAATATCCGTCAGCTATGATTACGCGTTCTACGGGAGGACGGAAGATTATTAAATTTCTTAAATCGTATATCCAACAGCATAGTATCCCCAAATCTATCAAAACTGACCAATACTCTGGTTTTAAGAACAAATTAGTGCAAAATTTTTGTCGAGAAAAAAATATTGCACAATATTTCTGCCCGGTGGGGGATCATCGTGGTTGCGGTTTAGTAAAAAGGTCGATTCAAATGATTAAACGTCGTTTAGGCGCCTCCCGGTTAAGTTCGGATTTTTCAAATATTCAAGATACTCTTAGGAATATTATTGAAGATATTCGGATTACAAAAAATTCTGTTACTGGGGTTTCACCGTTTGAGCTTCACTTTGGCCGTCCTCCGAATACGGAGCTATCCATTGCGGCTGAGCGGTTATCCACGGGCGTTAATTTAGATAACCAACAGTTGGAACGGGATCTTTTAACACCCGAACAGCGTCGGGAGCAGTGCGATAGCCGACCGAGGATAAAAGTGGTCAGGAAGGGGCAGTCAAGCCCGACGGTGTCTCCTTACTTTGGTGGATCTACGGATTCAGTTTCAGACACTCCTCACTACCGCGCTCTGGAGAACTTGGCACATTCTGCCAATCAGTGGTTGACATTGAAAAAGTCATTGTCCCACCAAGAGGGAGTCAAAGCCTTGAAGACGCTGACGGAAAGAAATCAAGTCCTCGCAGCCACCCTTCGCTCTAATTTGTCAGCTGGTACCCTTAGATTTAGGAATCAGATGCAAACGGATCAAATTCGCCCGTCTTTACCAAAACGCAAACAACTTACACCTGTCAAGAAGGGGCAGAAACGCCCCATTGTGTCATCTTCCCTGTCATCATCAGAAGACAATCGTCCTCTCAAACAATCGAGTTCCCGGCAACGCATCACAGCTAAAACGTTAAAGATTCCTGCTCATTCGAAGTTCCCATCTCTGCCATCTTCAAATATTCAATCTCGTAGCCAAATTGTATCGACTAAATCAAAGAAATATTCAATTTCGGAGGCTCCAGGTGTACAGTTTATCCCTTCTCCGCAGCAATCTACTCCAGTAGTAGACTTAACAGCATCTTCTTCCACGCCTGGAACTCAAGGAACGGAGGTTCCCATTAGTATTAAACCGAAGTCACCAATCTCAGTCATTAAAAATCCAGTATGTCCAGACCTCATCCCTATTTCTTCAGATGATGAATCTTCAATTCCTAAAACTCAAGAAGGAACTTCTACGAATGTGGCAGCATCGGGCTTTCCCACCCAAGGCGGTCCCGTCATAATTTCTGAACCGGATGGAAATGTCTCATCCTCATCGAACTCGTCCCGTGCCTCTTCTCGACGTAAAAAACAGACTACATTTTACGGTAGCCCCATCAGACATTCTGTGAATTTTATTCAATCACAGTCGATGTCTACTCCTCCGTCAACTCCTGCTTCGCCGGACAAGAAAGTTCGCTTTGTTGTGGCTAACTCAGACTCAGAACCGATGAATTAAGCAGGACAGTCTCGGGTGGTTCTCCCCGATAATTCCGAAGGCCTATATCGGAAATTCACACGCTTCTCTAAGAGTTCTTCCGACCATCCTTTGCGTCGGGCAGACAAATAAAACTTTCGTGCCTTTGGTTTAGATACAAACTTACAAAACTCCTGTTTATCGCTAAAAGTCACATCAGCTAATTTGTAAAACTGTTAGTGTTTATTTATACAAGCCATATTGCTTATCGTCTGTGAGGGCATAAAATTTGTTTTTGTTTTCCTTACTGTAAAGAAATTCAAACGTTGTTTGAATTTTTCCCGAGAGGGGGAAATGTGATGTGGCGTAGTTTCTTAGTTCATATGACGTCATCAGTGTACTAGCTATTCGTGCTAAACTCGTCTTTTTGTGTACCAAGGTCGTGACCGACCTGCCAATCCTTTATAGATTACCACTATGTGACCTTATTCATTCTGTCACAACTTATGAAAGATTTGAGTTGTATTTAAAAGATTTGTCATGACATTATCTAAATACTAAACTATCTATATTATTTACATTACTATAAACATAACAAGGAGAATTGATTCTTGTTTTACAACCGTTTTTGATGATTCACAGCAGCAAAAAAAAACCGCCTGCTTTTTATGATCAAAAATTCTATTCTTAGATCAAAGCAGTTTTCTATTTTTGTGTAGGAGGCTGTATAAGGCAAAAAAAAACTTAAAAAAAGGTAGAATTTAGTATGAAATCTACCTCAATTGCTGCATTTTCAATAGATGCATAATATAGCAAAAATGACTTTTTGGCTAATCAGCAAAAATAAAATTGTTTACTCAAAAACGAGAAAACTACATTCTTCTTAAGTTTTATTGGGCTACATAAAAAGCTCACTTTTATTTAGTTTTGTTAGTTAGTTTTGTTAACCAGTAGTTTCGATGTAATCTTTGACTGACTAAAAAAGGTTAAGTTGATGTTTTTGGGGTAAGACTTAAGACCCCAATTTGGTAAAAACAAACATAACCATATTAAATTTCCCTTAAAAATTTTTAGTGTCAACCCAAAATGAGAAAAACGCATTTTAAAAAGCAATTTTTTTTCCATTCGTCCGAATAATTTAATCAGCACTCTAGATGGATATAATAATTCAAACCCAGGTAAGATTAAAATTGACCAGAACAATCTAGAATTGCGACAAACATTGGTCCACGCGCACAATACCATTTTATCAAATTTAAGTTTGGAGGAGCGAGCGTTCGCTTCTAGCCAATTCTTTCTTGGGAATTATTCGTGTAATCATCATGTACAACCCCTTCTATATTTAATGGACAACTTTTTAGTTTTTAGCATGCGAATTCGTTGCAATGCCTCGCTTAGACTTGAAAATTGTGTGCCAAGAAAACGGATCCATGGTTTAAGATCTGCGGTTTCTTCTAGTAATATAATTTTCCGTCTAGTTCAACTGAAACCAAAGCCATTCGACTCCCTCACACCAGCAGAATCTTCCTTTTGGTACTGTTTTACAACATCCACTTTCGAAGAAATATAAAAAAATAAAAGTATGCAAAAATGTAGACAAAAAAATTACATGACGCTGAGTTAAAACTCAAAGAGTTAAATTGTACGAAGTTAAATAATGGAGTAGGACAGGGCATTTTTGAAAGCTACCTAGCACATTCACCCTCCACTTTTCTATTCATGAGTGAATATGGAATCATTGTGTTTTTGTGGGGAAGTAGTCTAGTTTGTGCCACATGCGTATTTGGTGATTCGGTTGATCACATACGTTCAACCACTGCTCCACCCTGCTCCCATTGGCGAAGCTGCCAGGTCCAATCGACACTTCACCCACCAACTCTTCTGAAATAGTTTCTACCTTTTTCGCCTTTCGGCCGCACTATTTAGATCATTATACAGATCCCAGCTTTCCGCCTCACTATTTAGATCATTATACAGATCCCAGCTAAGCGCCAAGTTTCTATAGTATATAGCCCCTCCCCTATTGAAAACTCAAACTGAAAATCATAATAAGAAATAATATAAATATATTTTTTTTACAATTTTGCTGCAAGATAATAATAATTAATATAAATAATTTTTTTTTTACAATTTTGCCACACGTTTATCGCTTTTTATAGCAGCCAAGAATGACCACTGCAGAAATTTTTTTTGCCTTAGCTCCTTTTTACCGCCCCACCCACCATCGACAATAACATATTTTGTGCGAGAAACATTTAGTTTCAAGGCTGTGGATGAAGATCAAATGTGTTTGGAGTTGGTTAATTAATATGCGCGCCAAATTTCAAAGCAATCGGGAGATTCTAACGTAATTTTCATTTGGTAGAAAACACAAATTGTGGGAAGCGGTAAAAGAGCCCGTACCTTTTAGTGACGGTGTTCGTACGAATAGTTCCACGAGCAGCCATGTGCTGGACAACAGTTCGTTCTCCTTCTTTACTGTGAACTGGATCTGCTGGTTGATCTTGACCAGGGTAGTTGAGTCACTCACTGACACCGCCTTCGTGCTCTTAGTCTTCAGGTCTTTGTCTCCTTTCTTCAGAGTTACTCGCACGTAGCATGTGAGCACTAAACAATCAAAACATCTTTAAATAAATCGCTCTACATGTTCAAAGTTTGTAAATATCGACTAATTTCAATTGTTTGCATGGATTTAAAAAGTTTGACGAGATGCTAAAACTTGAAGTCAATTCACCACCAAAGCACAAATACCTGTAGTTGGACACATGGGCGGATCTAGGAATCTCTCTCGAGGAGGAGGGTATTTTCATTCTTTTTTTAGATCGATCAAATTGATTTTCCAAGCAAATCTCCCAAATCACTATCTAGACCCTGTTTTGATCAATTTTTTTTTCACCGCAGGCCATTTTTTAAAAGAACAGAACAGGCAAAAAGGCGTTTTTAGACAGTTTTTAGAAAAAAAAATGTCCGAAAATTTGCGTTTTGTTTTCGGCGCGCTAACCTCATCCCCATCTTTCCCTCAAAAACTAGTATTTATATATTTGCGCCAAAAACGGATATCTTAAGATCGTACCAAAGGGAGGAGGGACCTTTTGGGTCGTCAGGGGGTCGAATCCCTGAGGGGAGGGGTAGCCCCTTAAATCCGCTACTGGTTGGACACGAAGACTAAAACAGCAGAGCTCAGACAAGTTTTTAACCCTACATATTACTGTCTTTTCAAAAATGATTTAGGTCGTGGTGGTGAAAATTAATTGGTGAGAAAAAATTTGTAAATTGGAGGAAAATTCAGAAAATTTAATTTTTCTTAGAAAAAATGTAAAATCACACTTTTCACACAACACAAAAACAGCATGGTAAAAATTATCCGACAGAAAATAAGACAAAATCCGCAAACATTTTGTCGAAAAAAATAACTCGATCAAATTTTTCATATCATTGTCTTGATTTTGTCTTCAATAACTTTCCATTTAAGAAAAACAAGTCAAGTAAGACAAGTGAAAGATAACTAGCATCGAAATAAAGTTTTCAAAATGGTAATTAACCTGACAATACAATACCTGAGCAGACAAACGCTGGGCCAAAACCCAAATTTTCTTTTAAAACAGAAACTAAAAAAAATTTAGGTCTCTCCTCCAAAAGTCAAGATAACGTTCCTGTTTTGCTCATCAAACAATTCGAAACGAGGCCAATAAACTAAAATAAAAAGCGAAACTTTTTAAGGCTTAAAAGAAAAAACAAAATAAAAGTGATGTTCTGAAATCGGAGTTTTAAGTTTACAAGCAACATTTTAAACAAGTTTGCGACAAATTATTTACGGGAAAAAAATCAGTACTCTAATATAAACACCTTTCCAATTAGGTGATATTGCAATTGGGTAATATTGCATTTGCGTTTTGCTTTTTTGACTTTTCTGAAACTTCATTGCTAGCAGGAAGCAGCAACCAAAATTTCGAGCTACCCTCCATGGCTCTTTTTGCATCTTTAATTTTCTTTAGAAAAAGACTGCTAACATAACTCTGGTTACAGGTTTTTAATTGTTAACTGTTATGTTTTTTAAAATATAGTTTATGTCACTGCAAAAAAATCCCGATATTCTACCATTTTTCTAACATGCAAATCAGATTGCTGTTAGGACGGACTTTGGGCAATTTTTTTGGTCGTACTATTCAAAAAGCAAGGAAAACTGATGTTTGTTGTGGTTTCTTAGACCAAAGTCGACAATTGAAGTCATGCTTTCAAAAAAAACTTGAAAAAACCCAAAAGTAAAAATAGTTCATTGAGTTCATGATAAAAAACTGTTTTTCCTTTCAATCACATTCGGTAAAATTCTAAGCTTTAAAAACAATTGCCAGTTTGGCGCATTAAAGAAATTCTCTATAAAAACGAAAATGTGAGTGAAAAAGTAAGCTTTGCACATACTCACTCCAAATTTATCTGGGGCAAGCCATTTGCTCAAATTAAACTCCTAATCAACTCGAATTTATCAAATTCTTTTTAATAATGCTTTAGGAAGTGATAGTAAAATTAATTGGTGAGAGCTAACAAAAAATGAAAAAATTTGAAACCTCCTTTTTCATTAAATAAAGGACCAGGAAAAAAGCCCAAAAATTATCAAGTCAATATACACATATTGGAAATATTTTCTAATTTTTTCGTTTCAATTTTGTTTTGATTTGTATACAGCTTAATTTTTAGCAAGAAATAAGAAATAAAAAACTGATTACCCTCTTAAGCTTTTTTCCTGTCTTTTTTTAAAACAAAAATTCACGACCAAAATTCTCATTAGAAACAATTTTATATTATGCTTTTTACTGTAAAACATGTCCATGCAAAAAAATGAAAAGATCATGTTTTCCATTATATCTTTTCCACTAGGTTTTATACTCCCATTTACAAAACCACAGTTTCTGGGATATATGTTTTTTTAAAGAGGGCAATTGTTAAAGAGATCCAAACGGTTTATAGACAATTCTTGTTTCAAATTTTTACAAAAAACAACGGAATGTTTTGCTTGCAGTGGTTTTCAGAGCCCTTTTGGCAATCGAAATCATATGTTCTACCAAAATTATATATAATCCAAACCAAATATTAATTCTTTGAGCTCAAGAAAAAAAAGATATTTTCACTGAAATATTTTCTAAGCCCCAACATTTTTCTAAAATGTTGGGGCTTAGAATCTGTTAGCGTTGCGCATTATTCGGCCCTCTTACTGGTGGAATCCCTTATATGCGACGGACCCAAAGCGCAAAAATAACAATAAGCCAATCAGATTTCAGTAATCTAAAATTTGGAAAGAAAGCGTGAAAGTCTGAAAGAAAGTAAACGTTTCCACGGATAAATATTGATATTGGCCGAACATAAAAACGGCAGAAATATGCAAAAATTTTCAGATTTTCACTGATCGCCGCCAAATTGGAACAATTTTTTCATTTCAAGGGTTTCGTTATGAAAGATGCAACATATTGCTCGTTTAACTCATTTTAATTGAATGGCAATTGATTCTTTTAAAACATTGACTTTTGGCTAATTTTGTTTTCGGTCCATCACCCACGATTTTTGTGCCCATTTGGATTTTCGCACCTGAGATTAGCCCTTCTAGAAATTTTAATCAATTTTACTCAGCCGAAAACGCTACAAGAGCAGTGAAGGGGTAGTTATTAAATTCATAGCAACGCCTGATAACAAGTGAAGTTTCGGGGTAATCGGTGAAATTTTTTTAATTTTTAACTGAAATTTATGCAACCGTAAAATTTAAATTTGTGAAAAATATGCAAGAATAGAAAGTGATGAATAGTCGTGCTTAGGTTTTTTGCACAAATTGAAAAATTTAAAAAGCAATGTTCGAACGAAACGTTTCTTACAATCTGAAATCGATTGCTAATCTGAGTTCAATTTAAAGTCCTTGCGATTGATATGTACAGTTATGGTTACTCAAAATTTGCAAACTTGACCAACTGGAGACAATTAACGCCCCAAATCGAGGTTCGCGACTCATGTTGCCACCAAAATGAGACGCCGAAATGGACTTTTAGCGACCGAATTTTCATCATCCCGCAAGAGGCTTGAGTTGCACAAAGTCGCAACATAGCTAATTTGGTTCGCACAAAGTCGCAACATCGCTAATTTTAGTCGCAGAAAATCGTAAAATAGCTAATTTGCGTCGCGCGAAGTCGCAACATAACTAATTTGGGTCGCACAAAGTCGCAACATACCCAACTTGGGTCGCGCAAAGTCGCAACATAGCTAATTTGGGTCACACAAAGTCGCAACATGGTTCGCGCAAAGTGGCAACATGCGTCTCGCAAAGTCGCAAAAAATAGCAAAATAGCTTGCCTGGGTTCAGTTTGGTATTTTTGCGAGACCCATTAATTAGTCGCTTACATCCAAATATATTGCGCGTGATATATATTTAGAAGTAAGCGACTAATTAATAGGTCTCGCAAAAATACCAAACTGAACCCAGGCAAGCTATTTTGTTAAATACCTTTCTTTGGGTTAAACATGGAATGTGATGTAAATTTTTTTTAAAAAATGAAATCTAATTCATAAACGTTAGCGGGCAGTCAAAACGTTAGGAGTTTTACCCTGAACCGAGCAGTCACTTTTTAATGAGATGCTGAAAAACTCTAATTGAGACCCGTTGTCTCTACCAGAAATCACTGTTGAAAACTACAACGAAACAACGGACAGGTTTCTCTCGATACATACTTTAAATATCTTATTGGATTAAAAGTCGCGACTAAAAGCATATTAAAGTGATACTACACTGCAGACAGCTCAAAACAACGTTACTATACTGTATATTAATTTGCTCAGTTCGGTAGCCTAATGATGCAAAGCCTAGTTTTTAGTAAATTTCATCGAAAAAGTCTATAAATGCCAGACCACCAGACCCACTACCAAAGTACTTTAGCTTGTCGCAGGAATGATTGTCGCTTATAATTGATTTTCGCGATACATTTTGATAAAGTGACTGCTAAATCAAATCCAAATTCGCAAAACGGGGTAAATTTGGGATACTTAAAGCACACAAAAATAGTTGAAATTATCCGAGAAAATTACAAATGGTCCGAATTTAGAAAAAAACAAGACTGCTCGTATAGCAGGGCAAAGCCCTGAATGTTCCGACTGCCCCTTAATTCTTCTTGAACAGGTTTTTTGAAATAAAATGAAAATCTATAAATTTTGGACAATATCAAAAAGTGAAAGTTTGATTCGTACGAATTTAATACAACCGATTAGCTAGCTTCAATTTTTGTGCGGAATAAATCGCCACGCATAAATAGTTTGCGTTACGCTCTCAGCTTCATGAATAAATTCTACAAATTGCTCATAATTTAGTCCAGAACTTGGGCAATTTGGCAATTTTCAAACCCCCCCTGAACTTTACAAAACTGATCGGAGGTAAAATATATTTTTTTAAATTTAAACTCAGAAAGCCAATATCTTTAAAAGGGTACAAAAAAATTGTTGAGAACTATTAATTCGATCGGCGAAAATTGAATGAATAAAAAAATCACACCGAGCATAAATATTCCGTTTTCTTCGAAAGTCGGAACAACAAGAGACTGCTTGTATATCAGAGCAAAGTCTAAAAAATTGAGTCG